CAGCCCAGGGATCTCAGGGATTGAACCTGGGTTGGCTGTGTGCAAGGCAAGTGCCCTCCCTTATTACTCCCACCCTTTTTTTTTTCCCCTTTAAAAAAATTGTTTTCTTGGCTACACCCAGCAGTGCTCATGGCTTATTCCTGACTGTGCTTGGGGATCACTCCTGGAGAGTTAGTTGTATGCCAGACCAGCACCCACCCCTGCACTGTCTCTAGTCCCCAAAATCACCTCTTTAAGGACCACCTAGTACATTTATTAGGCCTGGAGCTGATTTTCAGGCACAGTTTAATTTGTTCTCAGGGAACCATTGCCAAGTCCCCGTGGGTAAAGAAACTCTCAGAAGAAGGGTGCCAGCATTGCCCTCAGGGTTGACATCTGCACAGCAATTTCAGCTCAACCCACTTCTTCCCCCACTCTGAACAGATGTGAACTGCCGCTCAAGGGCGCAGAGCTCAGGCTTGGGAGAAATGGGGGCTCTTTGCATGTTTCCTCATCTGCCAATGGACCTGCCACCCCAACCCGCACTGAGGGAACTCCAGCCTGCACAGGCGGCCACTCAGGTCCTGAGAGGCGCTGAGACCTTCACGCCTGGTTACTCTCGTCGGGACTCGGGCACGGTGTGAGGGGCACTTTCCTTCCCATTTCACAGATGGGAATGGAGAGGTGATGGGACCTCCCTAAGACCATGCCGCTGCTGCTGCTGCTGGTGCTTCTGGGCAGAGCCAGGATTCACACCTAGCAGGAGGGAATTTCAGGCTGGGCTCAGGGTTTAAGAGTTTTCACCACTGCTGACTGCTCTGAAGATGCATCGAGGCTGCTGGGCTGACTCTCTGGGAAGTGGAGGGGGAGCGATGGGGGAGGGAGAAGAGAAGGACCAGGGGAGAGGAGGGAGGAGGGTGGAGGAGGACTCAGTTGAGAAGAGGGGGGAGGACATAACAGAGGAGGGGGGAGGGCCGGCAGGGGGGCGAGCAGGCCGTGTCCATCAGCACTAATGGTGGCCAGCGAGAGGGCAGGGTTCAGGCTGAGCAGCGCCCGGCCCCTGTGTTTCTGGAAGGGAAGAGCCCAGAGTCATTTTTCTGTGTGGACAGGCCTGGAGGGGGAGGAAACTCGGTCAAGGTGAAGTTGTTCTCGGCTTTTCCTTGGCCCCTCCCTCCCTTCTGTCTGGCTCAGGGGCTGGAGCTCCACTGGGGGCCAGGCACAGTGGGGGCGTGCCGGAGCAGGGCTGGGGGGCACTGAGGCCCGAGAGCCCCCACAGGTCCTGGGACAGGAAGTCAGGGGCGTCCACATCCAGGCGCCCTTCCCAGCATGGTCCCCACTTTCCCCAGCACCCCTGAACCCCAGGGGGGGCTAGGGGGATGTGCTAGGGCCCTGGGGCACCAGCTCCATAGGAGGGGATTTTTGTGGTTTGGGGTGTGCCCAGGGGCGGGCGCTATCATCTCCTTGGCAGAGGGGTGAGGGCCTGCCCTGGTCTGTGGGCGAAGCTGCTGGTGCTCCCGGCTCAGCTGGTGTCCAGTGCTAGAGGCCACTCTGGACCGCAAAACCTGGGCAGGACACGGGAGCCCCATGGTGACTGGGGGCCAGCCTGTGGGAGCCCAGGGAAGGTGGGATTCAGGAGGCATTTGGGTGGGAGGAGAGGAGACAACGCAGGATGCTGGAGTGTTGGGACATAGGGGATGAAGGCAGAGAGGAGAGCTGCTGACAAATTAGGGTCCAGCCTGATTTCCGCTGGAGGGCGCTGGCCAGTGACCCCGCTGATGCCCAGAGCCTGGGCAGGTGAGGGGGCGTCAGGAACAACTCTGAGCCCTTCCTGATCACACAGCGTTTGTGTGGCACTGCCAGGGGTCCAGGCCGCCGAGCTCAGAAGCTCTACGATTTCATGATCATGATGTTAGTCTGTGCCATGGGGTCGAATGGGAAAGTGTGGGGGGCTTCCTTCCTGGGGTTCATGGTCCCTGGGAGAACAGATAAGAATAAGAAATGACGAGGGCACACAGGAGTGGCATAGGGACTGCCCTCAGGATGGCGAGGCGAGCCAGTCGAAGGCTCTGTGGAGGGAGGGAGTACCTCAGGGCCGTGGGCGTGGGCAGTGGCAGTGCCACCTGAGTCCAGAGGACACACAACAGCCACAGAGAAATGCTGGTACCCCAGGCAGGTAGGACGGGCGACCCTGGGAGTCAGAGCAACGCAGGGAAGAGCTGGGCCCGCAGACCAGCCCGTGCCGGCTCTGGGACATCAGCCCCTGGGGTCCAAGGCCCAGTTCTAAGGCGGACCATGGGTGAGCCACCACCTTGGCCTCCTAGGCTCCAGGGGGTGAGGAGTCACACCGTCCCCCCGGGGTGTTGAGATCAGGTGAAGGGCCTTGGGGTGCCTCAGGGCTACTGCACCTGCCTCAAAGGCTTGAGGTTGAATCCCTGGCACTGCCCCACATGCCAGATGCTAGCTGGTACTGCTGTGTGATGTGTGATCCTGCCACATGATCTCAGGGGCACTGCAGCCCAGTGTGTCCCCCACCCCCGCCCCCCGCCACCCCGGGCATGGTGACAACAGCATCTGAGGGGCAGCGAGTGAAATCCAAGGTCCAGGGGTTACTGCCCATTTTAGGGGTTCCCCTGGAGCTCTGAGCAAGCCACAGCTGCCCCTTGAAGAAGTGCTCCCTCTTCTCCCCGGATGTAGCTCTGTCCCTGCCAGTGACCCCAAGGAGGGGCAGGGGGTGGTGGCGGGGAAGGGTGGGGGAGACAGAACACAGGCTCCCTGGCACCCAAGGGCCTCTCCTAGTGAGAGCTGCTGGCTGGTGGCTGGGGGAGGCCTGGGGAGTTTCCTGTCCTGGAGGAGGCGGAGCTGGGGTCCACTTCACTCAGCTTCCCACAGGTCAGGTGTCCTGGGACCCTTAGCTCAGTCAACCTCAAAGTCCATCCTGCTGACCTGGAGTCCCTTTTCCGTCTTCTTCCTCCACACCCCCTCTGCCCTCTCTCTCGCCCTCCTCTCCCTCCTCTCTTCTTCCCCCCTCCTCCCTCTTCCCCACCCCCTCCCTCTTCCCCACCCTCTCCATTGTCCTCATCCTCCCTCTCTTCTCTCCCTCTCCTCCTCCCCTCCCTTTCCCCTCCCTTCTCCTCTCCCTTCCCTACTCCTCTTCCTCCTTCTTCTTCTCAATCTTTCCTCTCTCCTTCCTCTCCCTCCTTACTCCTTCTTCTCCCTCTTCCCTCTCCCTCCTTCCTGAAGCTCCCTCCCACCTCCCTCCTTCTGGCCAAAGGATTTCCAAAGGGTGAAAGAGGAAAGGTGGAGCAAGGTGGCAGGTCTCCCTGGGTAGACCCGTCATCCAGCTGGCCTCTCCCAGAGCCGGTGTCTCCCCAGGTGTATGGCAGACAGATGTGCAGGGGATCCCTGGGTCCCCGCGCCCTCTGCAGCCCTGACCTTGCCCTCCTGCTCCTCGGTTCCATTTGACTAATGCTAGAGGCTCCACAGTCTGTTCTGTCCTTTGACCTGAACATGCACATGCACACATGTGCTCGCACACATGTGCATGCACACATGCAGGCACATGAATGTACACATGCATACACACGCAGGCAGGCAGGCATGCATGCATGCATGCACACACACCCTTCCAGACGCCCGCGGGTATGCGGACAGCACTCGCGGGCTCACGTGGCTTGCTGCCTGGAAATCCCTGAATCAGCGTTTTCTGCAGTCTGAGCGGCTGCTGCGTCTAGAGCGGCTCCAGCCCCGCGCTGCGGCTGGGATGCGGGCGCTGCAGCACTGCGGTGGCCGCTCTGGGAGTGCGGCGGTGTGAGGGGGAAAGTGGGGCGCAGCGGGGAAGGGGTGGGGAGTTGGAGGGGCGTTGCTGCAGGGAACCGGAACTCCGGGGGCCGCCAGGCTCAGTGCATCACCAGGGAGCCCCGGGAACCCCCGGGAAGCTCTCTCCACACGCACGGAAGGTTTTAGGGGCTGGTGTCACTTTGTGCACGAACCCCAAACACGCCTGGACTCCCAGCATGCAGGGAGAGTGTGCGGAGAGTGGGGAAGCTGGGGTGAGACCTGGGAGGTCTGTCCTGGGGAGGCGGGGACAGGGGCGGGGGAGACCCGGCTTGCAGCCCCCCTGCCCCTCCAGGCCTGCGGGACGCGTAGGCGAGCTACGGGGTCGAGGTTGTGCAGGCCGGGCCCTGAGAACGAGCTTGTGATGCGTCCCAGGGTCTGTCCACCAGAATCTGGGCGCGCAGACCTGGGTCCCGCCGCCGTCCTCCCTCCCCAAGAAGCTGGGGGTGAGGGGGACCCCGCCCCCTGGGGCAGCGAGAGTGGGGGAGGCGCTCACTGGGCTCCACACCTTGCCCAGCTTCTCCCCATCAGCCTTTTGTCTCCACCACTCCTTGGCGCCCTCCCTTTTCTCTCCTTTCCCGACTCCGGAAAACCTTCATCCGTCTCCCCTGAAGCAAATCGGCCCCCTCCTACCCACCGACTGCCGGGAGGTCCCCTCCCCCCCGTCCCCGCCCCAGAGGCCCGGGAAGCGCTGGGGGGTGGCGTAGGGTGGGGAGTGTCGCAGGACACCGAGCGGGCGGGGACGCCTGCGCATCGTCCCGGGAACCCCGTGGGACTCCGGGGGCGCCGGCCCGCCCGGCTCGCCCCAAACTTCTCCAGGGTGGCTCTAGGTTGCGCCCCGTGTCCCCCACACCGCGTTCCTGTCGCACCCACCGGCCCCTCCCCGGCCGCCCCTCTCTCTCCCGCCTCCCTCCCTCCCCACCGGCCGTCGGGACGGTCGCGGGGGGGGGGCGCGCGGTGCCCCCGCGTCGGGGCTGGCGGGGGCGGGGGTGCTGCGTGCGCTCTGCGGGGATCGCCCTCGGAGGGGCCGGCCCGCACTGTGTGCAGGCGGATGTGAGCCGCATGTCAATCGGCGGGCGGGGGAGCGGAGCAGGTTGTTACTACTGCAGAGAGAGAGAGAGAGAGAGAGAGAGAGAGAGAGAGAGAGAGAGAGAGAGAGAGAGAGAGAGAGAGAGAGAGAGGAGGGAGGGCGAGCGAGCGAGCTAGGAGCCGCAGCGGCCGGCCGGCCCGCGAGTGCAGGAGCGGACCACGGCGGCCCCGCCTCGCCCTCCGCCCCGGCCCCGAGGAGCCCCCGGCGCGGGCGGCCGGCCAGGGACGCCCCGTCCCGAGCAGAGCCGCACCTCGAGCCCCCGCGGCCACCCCGAGGGCCTGGGCTCGCGCGGGCGCACGCAGGAGAGCCGAGCCGGGACACCCCGACTTTCTGAGCTCGGCGCTCGGGGCTGGTAGAACAAAGTGCGGGACGGAACCCGAGGTGGGGCGCTGGACCCCGAGAGCCGCCTTGCGTCGGAATAACCCGGTGAGTTCCCGGCGGGGGGGATGCTCTCGGATCTCCGGGGAACCCCTCGACCTCTCTTTTCCCGCCGAGAGACGGGAACCCGCGCGGGGAGTAGCTGAGAGGCCGGGGCTGAGTCCCCCTGCTCGGGGCGCGGCCAGCAGCTCCAGCGCGTGCGGCCGGCCCCGTGGGGAGAGGCGCGGAGGCGGGTGGGTGAAGTGGGTGTGCAGAGGAAAGTGGGTGCGGGGCTCCCTCCGAAGGCAGGGGGGAGCGGGAAGGCCCCTGTGAAAGCTCAGGAGCCCTTGGCGCAGAGTGGGGTGCGCGGGGGGGCCGTGGGTGGAGCGCGCGGAACTCGCTTCCCAACCGCGCCCCCTACGTCCCCCGCCCCCACACCCTGTCGCAGCCGTCCGGGCCGGGATGGGCAGCTCCACCTTTCGCCCCAGCATCTCCCCGAAACTTTTTCAGACTCCTACAAGCGCCGCGACTCAGCGCTTTGGAGGGGCCGCGGGGTCCCGAGGGTGCGGGAAGCGGCGCAGCTGAGGGCGCAGGCCAGGGGACCCCCAGACGGCGGAGCGCATGCTCTGCTCAGTTTGCTGTGTGACCTTGGGCTAGCTGCTGCGGATCTCTGAACCTGGGGTCCCGGGGCCTGGTGGCCCCTTTGGGAATGGGGACTGGGTGGGGTGGGCGGAGGGGGCGGCGGGAAGCGACTGGCGCGCGGCATTGAGCCTGGGCACCCGGGTTCGCTGTCCTTGCAAGAAGGCCTCTCTAAGGGAGCACAGGGTTCGCTTGACAGAGGGGCGCTGGCATTCGGGAATCGGGAAGCATCTAAGCGTCTATCACTCTGACCCCGCCCATGACCTTGGATAGTCCACTTCCGCCTTGCACTCATCAGTTTCATCTGGAAAATGGGGGGCCTGGAACTTAGGGCCCCTGAAGATTCTGGCCTGGGCCTTCGGGGGGGTGATCTGTTGTGCAGTTCCACGAGGTTCTGCCTCACCAGCTGGTTTCTCCTGTCATGGAGCCCCTGGGAAAATCTGTAGCTTGCCCTCATCCCATAGGCTGGCGGAGACTCCCTGGCGCTCCGGGAATGTCTGCTGCCTGGGGGGCAAAGGCCTGGCTTTCTGAGTCTGTGCATTCTCTTTGCAGCGGCCAGAGCCTTTCCTGCCACCAAGTTCCCAGGGACAGAGGGCAGGGTGCTAAGGACCTCCTGAGGTCGCACTAAGGGGCCCCTGAGGTCTGCCCCCAGGCAGGGTTGCTTGTCTTCAGCTGGGACCCTGGAAGGGAGGCTGTAGGGATCTCCCTGGGGTCCCCAGAGCGCCTCACTAGGCAGCTCACAGGCCACGTCAAAGCAAGGGGCGACTCTGTCCCCAGGAGGGGGAACAGCTTCTCGCTGTGCCGCGGGAAGGGGCTGGCGGGAGAGTCCCCGGTTTCCTGGGGGAGACTGAGAGTCGGCCCTGGCTCTGTGCCCCCCCATGTGTGACCTTGTGTGACCTTGGCAAGGGGCTGCATTCCCTCCTTGCCCGCTGGTGGAGAGGGCGGGACTCCATCACTTCCAGCCCCACAGCCCCTCAGCTCTGCGCGGGAGGCTCCAGGGAGGGGACTGCATGGCTGTGGGGGGGGGCCGCTGCTAAGGCATCCCCCTCCCCAAACCCCAGTCCCCAGAGTGGGAACATCTGAAGACAAAATATCCCATGGAATGTGGCACCCTGCGGGGGGTTCCTGGGGGCCCCAACCCACAGCCCTGTGACCTTGAGAACTTTCTCTGCCTCCTCCCTGCTTGTCTGTGCCACGGAGAAGGGTGAGCACACAGGAGCCTGGTAGTGGACGGCACAGCAGCGTGTGCAGGCGAGCAGGGGCAGATGAGGGGAGAGGCTTTCAGGCTGGACTCAGGTCTCCGAGCAGCCTGTCTCTCCTGTCCATCAACAGCCCCATTAACACGCAGCACGGACTTCCCAGGCCAGACTGGGGACCCTGCCCACTGTTGGGCCCTGCTCTGGCCGTGACTGCAGGGACTGATGCTCAGGTCCGAGAGATGGGACAGGGTTCCCAGAGCCAGGGGCCTCCCTCCTGCGGGCCCACACAGAAGGCAGCAGGAGAGGCCAGACCCTGGCTCAGGTGGGGCCCCTCCCCACTGCAAACCCCCCTCAGACACACACACACCAGAGCCAGGGGTGCCCTGACTCCATGTGTGACTTCAGGCAAGTTGTACCCCTACGAGCCTGTTTCTTCACAGTAAAAGGTTGGTTTCTGTGCACGAAAGCCCTGCTATTTCCCAGCCCTGAGGACTGTGTCCTCGCTGAGGCTGGGGTGTAGAGTCTGTGTTTTATTGGAGTCCTTTGGGGTTCACTCTCCTGTGACAGCTGAGGGAAAGGCCTTCAACCCTCTCTCAGTCAGGGGTAGGAGAGACAGACCCAGGTTCCCCACCCTTGCTACTCTTTTCTTATTCGCTGTGTAACAATTGGGCAAATCACCAAACTTCTTTGAGCCTTGCTGTTACACTCATCAAGTGGGGATAAGATAACGGACATCTCAGGGACCTGATGAAGATCACATGAGAATAACTGATAGAAAACTCCTGGCAATTGGGAGAGTTTCTAGTGTGAACCAATGCTGCAAAGGAAAGAGTTTGGGGGCCGGAGAGATCTCTCGGTGAGTAGGACGTGGCATGCAGCTGACCTGGGTTTGATCCTGGACATCCTGTATAGTCCCTCAAGCACTGCCAGGAGTCATTCCCAAGTGCAGAGCCAGGAGCAAGCCCTGAGCACTGCGGGTGTGGCCCCCAAATAATAAACAAATTTAAAAAAAAAAAAACTAAAGAAAATAAGGAAAGAGCTTGCTGAGGTTTTGCATCATTCCAGAGGGTCTCCTTGGGGGAGAGGTGGGGTCAGCACGAGCCCTGAGGTCCTTCCCGCCCTCAGGTTTCCCAGAAAGCACTGGCCACTTGCAGCCTCTTCCGGGCTGTGGCCGCAGGAATTTGCATGCACTGCTCCTTGGGGCCTGCAGAGGGTGTAGGCCGGGGGCTGGGCACTGCAGGCGGAGTGGAATCTGCCAGAGAAAGGCAGGGAAGCCAAGAGAAGCTGGGGCAGCCTTCCTGCACTGTGGGCCAGGAGGAAAGCTGCCCAGGAGGGCCTGGAGAACAGGCACACAGAGGGGCCAGGCACAACCCAGTGTTGGGCACCGACAGGGTCTTAGGGACCTTCGCACCCAGTGTCTGATTCTGATTCAGGCTCAGAGAGGAGAAGCTCCAGGCTAGGGTCACACAGCACCACAGCCTGAGAGATGGGGCTGCACCCGCATTCACAGCCCGTTATTCCAGCCTCTCTGCCCCCCGTCCCCACGAGCACTGAGCAGTCTCACTGTCTGGAATTCAAGTGCTCCCTGGAGTGCACGCCATAGGCCAGAAAATGGATGAATAGACCCAGCAAAATAAAGCCAGAGCACTGAGTGCCGATAAGAGGAGGAAGGATACCTGGGGGGCAGGGTCGGGAGGGTGTGTGTGAAAGAAATGAAGCTAAGGTCACGGCCAAAACCCCAAAGGGAGCCCAAGATGAGCCCCTTTCTCGGTCCCCACAGAGATTCTGTGTGAGCTAATGACGCTGCAGGATATGGCTGGGTGGGCAGACGCCTGCACGCTGCCCCCTGCCTCACTTTTAGTTTTGGGGCGGGGGTGGGGGATGGCAGGGCATACCTGGTCATGCTCAGGGGTTCCTTTTGCCTCTGAACTCAGGAATTCTCCTGGCAGTGCTGGGGAGACCATATGGGATGCCGGGAATCGAACTCGAGTGGACCGCATGCAAAGCAAGCACCCAACCCTTCGTACCCTAACCCCTACCCCCCTTGCCTAATTGTCTAAGAACTAGATCAAAAGGGAATAACGCCTGAGCCTGGGCACAGTGCCTAGGTGGCTGCAGGAAGAGCGTGGTCCTGGGTAGGACCATCTGGCCGGGAGACTGGCCACCAACCTTCCCATTGTACTGACCCCAACACTGAGGTCTGGGGAAATGAAAGGAACACGTGAGCGGTGCCCAGGGCTCTTCCCGCCCGCTTCCCTCTGCTGGGAGCCTGTGTCAGCCGCCACCCAGCCAGCCCACCAACGAGAGAGACTAGAGAGGAAAGCAAAGACACAAACTCAGCAAGGTCAGGTCCGCAGCCAGGCCAGTGGCGGCCCCTCAGGCCTCCGCTGCTGGGCAACACAGAGAGCGATAGCCAGGCGTGAGCTGAAGTCTGGGCCGTGGGAGGGATGCCGGGCAGGTGGGGTGCGAGCTCTTTGTTTGCAGAGGATTCCGGGGTTTATGCAGTGAAGGATCCTGGCAGGGAGCGTCTTGGGGGCATCTCAGACCCCTATTGTTCAGTGCTGCCCCCCACCCCGCCCCCAGTTTGTATCTCCCTGGAGAAGTGGGCCATTGGACGCTTTTGCAGAAAGGTCTTGGAGCAGATGGCCGGCTGAGCAGAGAGCCGGCAGGGCTGGGCAGGAGCTCGGAGAAACGCTTCCTTCCTTAGCTGGGCCCGGAGCCCAGCGAAAGAGGTGGAGAAAGTCCTTGGCAGGTCAGGAGAGGCAGTGAGCAAATTTTCCCTGCCTTTGTTTGGTTATCTGTCCCTTTGGCTGCTCTTTTTCCTCCTCCTGTGTCCTTTGGGGTGTGTGTGTGTATGTGTGTGTGTGTGTGTGTGTGTGTGTGTGTGTGTGTGTGTGTGTTTAATTAGAGGGTTGGAGGGGCTGGGAGGAGGAGGACCAAGGTCTCCACTGGAATGGAATTCTTGAACGTGAGGCAGCTTCTTGGTCATTTAACCAGAGGTGCCTTTGGAGGCACCAGCATCCCTGGACCAAGGTGGGGGTGGGGAGTTGCACTGTAGCGTGAAGTGGGGGGGGGGTAAGGTGCGAGGAGGGACTTCCCCTGTAGGAGTTGTCAGTGAGGAAGGGGGGTCCTCTGCCGGGACTGGCTTGGTGGCCCGCCATAGAACCCACAGTGGCGTTTCTGGAGGTCAGGGCTGCCTGCTGACCCAGGGAGGAGTGTGGAGTCCCCCAC